GTGAGGGAGGCAGCGTGTGGCCTTCCTCCTCTTCACCGTGGCCGTGTCGGGTTTCGTGCGCGGTTCCGTTGTCCTTGGCGCCTGGGTGGCCGAGGGGTTGATACCGGTTTGTGGCTCGAGTTGCCTTGTCGAGGGAAGGGAAAAGGAAAGAGAAACGATCAGAGCATCCTCCATGGGAAACGACCCGTTTCCTGGCAACCGGTAGAGGCTTCTCAAAAGGGGCAAGGGCTTACTCACGAAAAAGTGATGGTGTAAGTCTCCAAAATAATCTATTTGGTGCATTAGGGCTTTTTAATAGCCTTGTTAAATGTTGCCAAAATACGGTCTAGTCCAGTAACTAAGTCGGTAAATAATCCAAAATTGGGAAGTGGCAGCTGTCAGAGTGGCTAGGCCTTATGGCTTTGTTTTATTTCTCTTAACATTTCATGAGAAATGTTTGAGATTTAAAGAAAAAAAAAAAAAAGCTTTGCAAATTTGAACGTTGTGACATTGGACTAGAAAATGAAGGACTTATAGGTGAGGTTCATAGCTGTACGAATAGGAAGAATACTTCTGTTTCCTGGACTGCCACATGCAAATGGTAAATGCTTCATTGGGAGGGGGATGAGACTTAACTGGCATTAAAATATTTAGTAACAACAAAACTTTTTTTTTTTAGTAGTCTGATCAGTTTGGAACAGACAAAAAATAAAAGCATGAAGTTCTAGCTCTGTGGTGATAAATTAGAAATCTGTTTGGGTCAGGGTTTTCTAGACAGATCGTAGCTATGTTGCCTTTGGTTCTCGGGAGTCATCCGCTTACCGCCTGGGGGTGGTAGGGACCCCCAGGTGGGGGACCTGTTTCCTGATGGGCAGAGCACCAATCTTAGAAATTCACCTGCAACAGGAGGATAGAATCCATTCTTTCCTCATTTCTGTTTCTTTCATGTGTTCTCTGCTCTCATACAGAGGTTTCTGGTAACTTCTTCAAAAATGCTTTTCAAGCTGTAGTTTGGCTTACACTTATTTGAGCAGTATTGACAACTATCCCTTCAGTTGGGTTGTTGGAACAGTTTGTGGGGTCAGTTGGTGAACTGCTTTGGAGCAAAGTTAAAAATAACTAATAGAAGGTGCTTATGCTGACACTGTTTGTGAAAGAAGGGTTTGTTAAACTGTTCTGACATTAACATAACCATTGTTAGATACTCTCTGTTCACCTTTACTGGTCTGAGGTCCCCAGATCAAAGGTAGCCAAAGGCTTAAAATAATACTGTGTTTATGTACTCCAACCCAAGTGCCTTTCCTCTCTTTGATGATGACGGTGTTGTTAGTTTGGTTTGGAATTTTTTTGGAAGTGGGAAAGAGCTGTCTTTTTTTAGATTGTAAGATTTCAGTGCAGGGTGTGTGTTTATATAGTATCTAAAATAGTATGGCCTTGGTCCCAGTTAGGGAGATATGGGTAGCGCTTTGCTTAAGAACTTAGGTATTCACCTCTTCCTTCAAAGTATTTCTTATTTTGATGTGAGAAGTTTCTCTAGTTTCAGTGCAGAATACATTATTTTCGGAGTCAAATATCCTTGAGATTAGCTTTTGTTGTTATTGTTTTTGTTTTTATGTTCCTTGACCCACTACACCTGTCTAGTTATTTTCTTCCTCTTCTTTTCCATGGGCTACTGCTCTGGCAGCATCCCTAAAATCTATGTTTTATAACGAGCTTTATAATTTCCTTTTTTCCTTATTTTATAAATAAAATAATAGAAACTTTTTAAAAGATGCATTTAAGCCTTTCTCTGTATGGGTAGATTGTATGCTGATGACTTCAAATCAAAATTAAGATAGTTTCTTGCTCTGGAGAAAGCTGAATGAAATGAAAATAAAATAAATGTTGCACATATGGAAAAGTAAATGATTTTACTTTCTATTTTGATCTATTATTGAGCTATTAATAGCTGAAAACATGCTTTTAGAAATGAAATGTAAGCTGCCACGCTTCTAAGATTCAGATAAGAAAACCTTTGAGCAAAATTATGCAACAAAACAGAAGTTGAGTTCAATAAAATCAACTTAGAAAATTGGCAAATGCAGAACTGGAAAGAACCAGATGTGCAATTTCGACTCTATCCCTCTGTTCTACAAGTGTAACTGCTTAATGGAATGCTATGGAATAGTTACTGGCAGGTATGTGAGGCAGCAGCCTTACAGTACAGCTTGCTTTCAAAATGTCTTTGTAAAAGCATGGAGACGTTTCTTTCCCCATTTTAGAGACAGGGAACAGAAATGTAGAGTTTCAGGTTTTCAGAAATAACTTACTGACTCAGGGCTACGCAGCAGGAGGACAGCAGGGTGCATCAGATGAGAAGAGAAAGTTGGGAGAAAGGAATATCAGGACTGTTGGCTGGGACTCCTTTATTCCAGCTGATCATGTTACTTGAGAGAGAGAGATATATATATAAAGAACATCTTAAAAATTATTATTTTATAAACATATTCTTAAGATATATTTATATGGTGCTTATATATATTTTTAAAATCAATTAACTTCCACACTTCTGTTGAAGTGGTTCCTACGAATTTGGATTTCTTTGAGACCTCCTAAAGAAAGGCAGCAGCACTTCCTTTCCCTATAATCTTTCCTTTGTTGTCAGTACAGCTTGTGACATTAAAATGAACACCTAAGATATGAGTTGCAGGAGATTAAGTTTGGACATTGTTTGATCAGAAGTGTCTAAGCTGATTTTTTTCACCTCCCAGTACAGCATCATTTTGTTTCACCCAGTATTACTAAACCATGCATTGAAAGACGTTATCATTATGTTTATACTACTAAATAGGAATGAGTATTGGATTTGAAGCTTTGACACCTATTCAGATTCTTAAGGAGCATTTATAGTATTTGCAGCAGCAAAATAGGTTTTTTTCTCAATATAAATGAGAAAAATTTAGTAATGAATATTTGAAGTGTTCAACATTTGGGTGAAATATCAGACAATGAAATGCCTCTATTAGATCAGATAATATTACAGTAGAATAAAGGTATCTTTCAGAGCATTTTACGCTGTATTTAAATACTGCTTCTATAACAAGTTATGCTCCTTTTTAACTTAATGTCACAAAACATAGTCTAGAGTATTATTTATAGCTAAAATTACATTTTAAATGAAAAAACCCCTAGCTAAATATCTATTTGCCTTTTGAACTTTCAGCATGTGACTAATGAAAATGAGGGCACTTTACTGTAGTATTATATTTTTGCTCCTATTAAAATCTATGCAAGTAAATGGTATTTCTGACCAAGATGTACTGGGTTTGATGAAACCATCCTGACTGACAATTCCGTAGCGTATATATATTTTTTTTTTGTTATAGGTCCTCGTTTAATGATAGATCTTATCCTTTCAAAACTGTAATTTTCCTCTATTTCAGCCACCTTTCCCTCTGACTTGCAAGGCCACGTGACTTCTCTCCTAGCATCTATTTAAGGCAATATATCAGTATTTTATGTGGACATTGTTATACAGTCTTATAGTTTACCTAGAGGTTAGCAGCCTTTCAAGGGTATTGTGCATGACGGTACTCTTCTGTCAGAATGTAGAGATTAAGTATGCCAGTAGAAATTTAGTGAAAAGTGGGAGATACTGCTGATGGGGAAGTATCTTGTTCTCTTATAAGAGAATTGTTCCTGGGTTCCAGTAAGTGAACTCAGCAGGAGCCAAGAGTTGGAGCCAGGGCTGAAAACAAATGCCTCTCTCAAGATGCCATGGGTTCCAGCTCCTTGCTCACTGCTGATCTTGCCTGCATGCTATTCAAAATCTGCATATGTGCTATCTTTGGATCCAGTGCCATAAATTGCTAACCCAATCTGTAGTAGTCCATCAAAAGCAGATGGGATAAGTCATTTCTAAGTTTAAGGATACATGCAATTTTTGATTTAAAGAAAAAAAAATCTTGGAATACTAATTAGACAGTATTTGTTCTCTTCTTTTTTTTTTTTTTTTGCTCCCCTGCCTCCCTATACCACCACCACCACCTACCTCCAATGTTGCCTTTCGTTTTATGTCCATGGGTTTTTCTCCTTTTTCTCTATCTCTTTTCTCTGTTAGCACATGTCTCCCCTTTCCTTTTATTGGACAAACCAAGTACTATGGGAATAATTCTTTAGGCAGAGACCCAACTGCAGAGTAAAATAGACAGCCTTTGCAGCAGTTGACTTTACAGCAGTTAATCCCGTATATGAAGCACAGATGCACAGTGGTTTATCACTTCTATATTGTAATTGTTGGAACTCTGTCAAAGATGCACCTTGAGTGAATGCTTGATTAGAAACTATAGCATGATGTATAGGAAGTCAATATTAAAATAATCAGAAATAATGATAACAGCATTATTAACTTTGTTCTGTGCAGATTTCTGATAAATAATACATGGCCAAAATATTCCTAAGTGATGTATATAACAGATTGTAATGCATATATTCTTAATGTATAGTTTCCCTTCTTTCATGATTATGACCATGTAGAGAATTTCATATCCTCTGACTATTTTTCTTTGATTTTGCTTTTGGCTTTCTATTGTTTTCATTTTGGATGAAATATTACTACAGTTTCAGATGAATGGGTGAAGAACGGTCTGAGATATTATTTTTTCTATCTCCTGGCTTGTGGTCTGCCTAAGCTACTTGTCAAATGTACTTATTTGACAGCAAATAACTTTGTTTAAAAGCATTCTCCTGGCACAGAACTAAGATTTTTACATTTCTACAAAGGAAAAAAAAATTAATAAACTGCAATGTGTTGTTACAGGTCCTTTTTACTATATAGCAGTATTCTTCCACTTTTTCCTCTGCCTCCTCTTCTCTCCTCAGACAAATGTCAAGTAAAGTATTTGAAATGCCAACTCTCTTGTCTTTGATATGCTTACAGAAGTGATGTCAAATAGTCTCAGGATGGGCTGCAGGTGGTAGCCCAACTCATGGTCTCGAAGTCCTCCTCCGCCAGTTGAAGGGTTTGCTAGGAGTTTTGTGTTTAATGTACATAGGCAGGCTGAATGGTTGCTGGCTGCCTTAGGATTGCTGTGCATGCACAGGGCAACAGTCTTGTACCTACCTTCCCAGTAACTTAACGAGTCTGGCAACTCGTTCTCCAAAACACTCGATTTTGCTATGTGTGTGCAGAAGGAGTATAACGTATAAAGAATACATTCATTCTACATAGTTCCTATGGGCAATGCAGAAGGGGATGAGAGGCCCCTGTAGTTCAGTGCAGGCTGCTGCCGCCACCAGGACAGTTTGTATGGCCTACATCATATTTGGAGGGGTACGCCAAGAGTGTTGGGTGAAGATAGCTAAGCTGTCTTGGCAGGCTATCTGCAGGCTGTAGTTTGTGTAACCTGGTTGGTTTCAGAGTTATTCAGCAGGCTCATCCATTCCGATACAAATGTCAAGCTGTTCAAAATTATCAACCTAAACAAGGAGAGAAATAAATTTTCTTGATGTGCCTAACAGCATGCTCAAATGAGTTAAGGAAAGATTATCCACTGGAGCTATGGGTATAGCTTTAGTACTATTTATTGCACCCTAATATAGTTGATAAGAGCTGTAACAAATTTAACCAGTAAGTCTGGTTATTATATATAAATGCTTTATTTCTCTTAAGTCTGGCAACATGACTTTAAACAAGTAACCTCCTATTTCCTAGCGTACAGGATGCAAGACAACCCCCCTCCCCCAATTAACTTAAATGAGTCAGAGTGTAGTCACTTCTGCTATTTGTCTCATTTAAGGGGCTCATGTATGCAACGAGAGTGTTAATAGGAAGTTTTCTGCTGGTATGTTTAATTTTATCATTTTTCTTCTCAGGATGTGATCTTCATGGTGTGCTGGTGGGAAAACTGAGTTGTAAATCACCCCAATGGATGCGGACAGTGATGTTGCATTGGACATTTTAATCACAAACGTAGTGTGTGTTTTTAGAACAAGATGTCATTTAAACTTGAGGAAGATTGCATTAGAGGGAGCAAATGTGATATACAAGCGTGATGTTGGGGTAAGCGATTCAACATACCTCAAATATCTATTTTTACCATTATCCTTAAGCTAAACATTCTTGCACCTGTGGATAGAGAACAGAATGGTTTTATTTCTGTCTTGCTGTGCATTTTGTCTGTCATTATATACTAAGTCTACAGTAGGACGAAGAGGTAACTGTTCTCTTAGAAAGCTTTAGGAAGCTATTAGATTAGGTCTGTGCAACTTCTAAGGTGAATATTGGATATACGATGAGACCTGTTATATCTCCAGGTCCATCTTGCCTCCCAAAATTTGATTTGTTTGTCAGGAAAATATGTTCTAATAACAAAAAAATGCATTTTTAATAACAGCCAGATGCAGGTGTGTATGCAGCTGCTCACAAATTGAGAAAACAGGGATCAGCTGAATTCAGTCAGTTACTGTCCTTTAACAAGGTGGAAAACAATTTGTGAAAGGTATTGTTTAATCCTGTCATACATGGATACGAGTGTGTTGGAATGAAAGCATCTTTTACGTAACAAGAAAATAAATAGTAAGCAGAGCGTTTTTTTGAGGTTTCAAAAAAAAAAAAAAAGAAGAAGAAGAAGAAAGGGGGATCTGTTCCAGATCAAGGAATGACATGAAGCAACTGCAGTTAAAAGTGAAGGTGACAAACAGAAAATATCCTACCACAGGGGAAAAGAAGGAAAACAGTAGGAAGGTACATGCTCTAAAGATACGGAAAGTTTTAGCGCTTGAATCAACAGATCTCTCAACTATCCTTTGTCCAAACTTGTGAGATAATGCTGTGTTAGGTCATACAAAGGCAGGGAAGCCACAGGACTAGACTGCAGCTATGGCATGTGCCTTCTGGAAGGCCTTTTTAAGCCCACCAAAGCATGTCTGAGGTGGTCACAGAGCAGGAGAAGAGGCTGCAGTTCTGTGTGAGATCTAATCTGTAACAGGTAACCCAGCAGCAGAGGTGTTTGAAGGAGGAGTCAGCTGAATGAATCTCGCCTGACCTTTGTCTATTGCCTGGCAGATCTGCATCAGAATTATTTATAAACAAGATAACAGCATTTCAGGAAAGGAGTCAGAAGTGTGGGAGTCATTGTAACAAGAAAAAAAATTTAGCACAATGCTTATGGCTTTCAGCTTTTTATTCAGAGGAAAATATCTCCATTTAATCTGTTATGTGAACACTGAATTACTGGCTAAAATATTCCAGATTTATTTTGCTCTTCTCCACAGCTGATTTTTTTTTTTAATTATTGAAAGACATGAAAGGACAGTTGAAGGCTTTCAGAAATTAAAGGAAGTATTATTAGTCTAGCAGGGTTTTTTTTCCCATAGGAAATTGAACTAACACTGATTCTCAGTTCTTTCCTCCCTTTTTTTTTTTTTTTTTCTTCTTAGAAAGTATTAATGAAGCTTAGGAAACCTAGGATTACGGCCACAATTTGGTCCTCAGGAAAAGTTATTTGCACAGGAGCCACAAGGTGAGTTCATGAAGAGCCTTTCTCTAGCTGAAAAATCTTACAGATTTTAAAATGTCATGTAGTGGATGAAAAAGATAGCAAGAGGCAGTACTTGCCGCTGTTAAGATTGCCTCATGCTGGGTCACACAGAGATCCTTGCCAAGCTAAGTATTTGTGTGGAAGTTTTCCATGCTAAGTGTCTGCCTTGAGCTGACTTGAAATCTTGAGCAACAACAGTTCAGCCTTCTGGGAAAACTACTAATTTATGAAGAGAATTCTGGAATTTTCTTTTGAGAACTCTTAAGAATTCATTTTTTTTAGCCAGATATTGAAACTTGGGAAGGGATGATCTATTCTGAGGGATGTTTCTTTTATTCTTTCATGAAAATCTATCTGCATTTAATCAAGTTATGTGCTGTTGACGGACTGGGAAGAAGCAAAAGCATACTCTTAGTTCAGATATGTCTAGCTGAGGCTTGCTAAGCTCTAATGATAAATTCACATAAGGTGTGTCCACATTGTGGAGTAAAGGTAAGGTAGAGTGGTAAATCTGCATACTTTCTGTGTATGATCTCTGCCTCAAAATGGAAGGTGCTTAGTCAATGTTAGCTTTTACAGGATTTTTCTCTTTTTGTCTGTGACCCTGCACACTGGTTACACAGTGTGAGCTTTTTTTCTAAACTTTATTTGGTGCTTCCTACTGGTATGAATGTGTCATAAACATTACCTTCTTTTCTAATCTTCCAGGGAAGTTAACAAGCCCATTTTAAAGGAGAGTAGGTTGAAAAGTGACCGCCAGTTCAGGATAGCCAACTTCAGATTCCCTGTGATCATACTTTTATTTAATCATATTTAGTGTGATGTATGATCAAAATACAGCTCCCGCTTCAGTTTCTACTGACTTAAACTGCAGCTGCAAGTGCCAAGATGTTCTTTAAACAGGACATAAGGGACTCTATTTGAATATCTAGACAATGGAAATTATACTGTAATACATACAGTAGGATGAAAGGAAGGCTGTCCCTGTGAACATAGTTCATGCATTATTGTAACTGAATGCTTCATGTGGTAGTCTGAGTGTTTATTGTCATATGTTTGCACACAAATACATATTATGCTTCTGGTAACACTAGACTTTTGTCTTTCTTCTTTATAGTGAAGAAGAAGCTAAATTTGGTGCCAGACGATTAGCTCGTAGTCTACAGAAACTAGGTTTTCAGGTAATCATAATGAAAAAGGACTCATGTGACTCAAGTAATGCTGCTAGCCAATTTTTCAGAAAGAAACAAAGAGGAGGTAGCATAACAATTTAGCAGCCAGCATGTTTTCACTCAGATGCTCCTTTTATAGCAGAATACATTCTCCAGGTACTGGTCAAAGAAGCTATTTCTTTCTGTAGATTTGAGTTTCATTTGGCAGTTCGGAATAGCACTTCTTTACTAGCTGAACAACAACAGTCATTTCATAAATGAACAACCTGCAAATGCGTCTCAGATAGTTTACAATACCTTGAAGATTTATTTGGAAGAAGTGCTAAAGAGCAAAACCTGTCATTTGAACACAATTTCCCCTCACTGTTTCTGGTGGAATAACGAATATGTCTCTCTCATGTTTGGGGCAAGTTTGAACCTCTTAATTAAGTGGATTAGGCTATGCACCAGGAAATAAGCCAAATAAAATACTAATGATATGAAACTCCTCTTTTTCTGAGCTTGGGTTAACATTACCAGTCAAAAACACCACTTGCTTGGACTTCATAGTAAGGGTTGAAAAACAGCAGCTTGAAAGAGTACTGAAACATGTCATTTTAGAACTTCCTGGTACCCCATTGTGCTGTTTATGCAGTTTGAAGTTTGCCAACAGACAATTAAGTAGGCACAGTGGCTGTCCTTTTTGAAAAATAAAAAACAAAACAGTAACAAAACAAAAAGAAAGTGGGAACCTTAGGTTTATTAAAATAACTTAAGCCAAGGGTGACTCACTACCACATTTGCCTTACAGCAAGCAAACTGAGAGCAGAACTTAGGCACTTGTTACGAATGTATCCATTAAACCTGTTGTTTTAAAGCTGGAGTGGAAGGTACAAGCAGTGAGTTGAGCAGTGCTTCCAGGATGGAAGGACCGAATTCTAACTTTATTATAAAGTTGTTAGTTTAGGTGGAACATATTTTGAGGACTATACTAATAGTTTACGTTTTATAAGGATTAGTTGCTTCCACTCATCGTTTACTTTTTTTACAAAATTCTTGACTGAGGAATGATCATAGTAAGGTTAGGCATTTTCAGAAAGCGAACCATTTCTTCCGGGATATTGCCAGCATTGTTCACCATTGTACTGATTTGTCTAGGAATCGTCTGTTGGCAATTTTACTTACTGTGATACCAAATGGCTGTGGGCAGAGAATAACTGAAAGCCAATAGTTTTGGCTTGGTGTCAGAAAGTAGAAGGATAAAAACCAACTGTCCATACTGACCGCTGGATAATTGAAACAAAACAATTTTAATCTTCTTTCTTATTCTTGCCTATAGTAAAAATGGTGTATCACAACAAGACATTAAATATAGTATTCCAAATTACATCAAAAGATTTCTGTAACAAAGAAAGCTAAGCTCTTTC